AGTTTAAGGGATTAGAAGGTCATTTTTCTCAATTTTCATCCTGTACTGTAATTAAAAAAAACATAAAGCACATCCTGATGCCATGCCCCCTCCTAAGCCACAGCCTTGACTGCCCTGAGACACGTACAGTCAGGGTTCAGTCACATTCCAGGAAATCTTTGTTTTCCCATATTACACTTACACACATATTATATCATGACTAGTGAGACAATCTCAGATGGTGCTGAGTGCAATGCATAGCTCAGAGTGGCACACTAGTCACACAGGTCCTCACCCCTGCCCAGTTCACTCGCGGTTTGTATCTACCTTGGTACCTAGGGCTTTTCCCCTTCCAGAATATGAACGGATTGAAACCTTGACAAGACATAAAAAGTAGGGGCTCACAAATCGAAGCAGCCGGGTTTTTAGCTGGCAACCAGCAACTTATTTTGGAGATACTGTTACAGCAAGGTGACAGTTGCATTTAACCATCACTGTCACAAATAAAGTCACACATTCATATTGAAATGCAGCATAAATTTCTTCACCCGTTGGGTATACACTATTACAACACACATCGCTTGCAGGGAGCTTTGTAGCTGTAGGGCATCACACAGACTGCCTAGTAGTTATCAAGATTCACTGGTCTTTACCTATCATTTTCAGCAGCGATCTCTTCAAACTATGTTTGCATCACATTTCTTTATGACATATTTTAGATGCTGCCTGATTGAGTAACTCTGATTGAAATTTACCACTCAAGTTGAACATTTTAATTTTAGCTTGTAAAGTAAAGTACAGTTATATAGTAAGCTCTGGACATAAAAAAAAATCATACAGTACCATTCGACCAATGTTCCTCCGGTTAGTCAATTCTCTGTTCTTTAAGGTTCATTTCTACTTTCACTGCAATCAAGATTAAAATTATTTTAATTAATAATTCAAAAAAACATAATAAGATTTGCTCTAAGAAACTTAAAACAGGGCAGTTAGAGATTAACTTTATTTTCAAAAAGAAAATAACTTTAACTAGTTATTCTTTCGAAAAAGACTCAGTGTGCTTCTGACATTGTTACATTTCATGCATTAAATTCCTGAAACA